AGCGTAGAGATACGTAACATATGGAAACCTCTAATCAAACGAAAAACGACCAACTCCCGCCAAACGGTCATCACCCGCTAAAAACCAATGAAGCGGAGAGAGGGAATAGGTGAAAGCACTCGAATGGCCTATAAATAGTCGGATCTCGAAGGAATAAGTCCAGTTATCACCCGAAGACGATTGTGGATACTAACAATCGAAACGACGTGACATAACTTTTGGTTTGAAATCTTTTAATTCTTATTTTTCATACTTTTTTAATAATACTTTTTAAATTTCAGCTTTTAATAATATTTCAATTTTTATTTCTTGGTTGTTGTTTGGTTTTATGTTATTTCTTTGTGAATTCAGTTTTTTTGTTCAAATAAAATTGTTGTTTTCGGTTGATCTTTCTAATATTTTTCAGGAATTTCAAATCAATTTATATGACATTAGACAATGGAAGTCCGAAGTGATGAAATACACCACGAAACATTGTCAACCACCTTCAAACAAATGTTATTCTTTCGTTCTTATAGAAATTCTTGAATAACAGAATTGCACTGCATTAATTAGTTGAAATAAATTCAGCACATTAATCAGACACATGGGTGTTTCTACAATAGGAATCCTAGAACAAATCTATCAAAAAATTCGTCGGTGTTTATGATGTGTGAATTAGCCAATAAAGTGTCAAGTCTATGCGAAAATTTCCATGATGATAATAATAGTTCAACCCGGGAATCACTAAAAACTTGATGTTATGATAGTGTTCCTTCTAATTATTCCAGATTCTTCCTTATATTCGTTTCATCTGTATTTTCTCTATTTATCTATGGATGTGAATCTTTTGAAAATAGACATTATTATTTTGCTTATCTATCGCTTTTTGGCACATTCATCAGACTTCTTCACATACATATTCTTCCCTGAAGCTATTTTTGGATTAGAAGTATTTCTTCTTTCTCTATACAAAACCAAAATAGAGAAATCTACGTGTTCTCATCATTTGTAACTATATATTTTGGCAGAAATAACATATATGATATTGAAGTGAGCCTGATTTTCATTCTACATTTTTATAAAAATATAAAAAACGACGTTGATATTTCTGTATTTGTCATTATCGTGAATGCTCTATGCTCTAGTGAGGCAATTTTTTTCATTCTCCTGTTAGACGCTTATGATGAGAACAACAGAAAGTTATACCCCTTTCAATTCAACCAATTAGTTATATTTCAATACTCAAAAACACCACAAAATAAGGCACTGAAGTGGATTTCCCGATATACATTTACTCGAATCCACATTGAGTTTGTACACAATTTGTAACGATTATTCAGATTCATATATCCATTGATTCAGTTTTAATTAATATCAAACATATTGCACAAATATTGATTCCAAATTTCAGTATTAGGTCAGATAATTTTGATTTTTCGAAAATCATGTCAAACTTGAATATTAAAATGGATTGATTGATTGAGAAAATGACTGCTTCATAATGGTGTTCTCATTTAAAATTACTTGATTAGAGATATGTGAAATTGAAATAAAAAATTTGATCACACTGAAATCTCTTTTGAAAATCGCCCTCTGAATCTGTCAATATAACTATATAATTTGTTTTTTTTTAATAAAAATATCAAATATTCGTTTCACATATGTTAACGTTTCTGTTCTAAAAATAACTGGTTTTTTCATTTCCTACTATACAATACAATATTACAATATTATGTGGGAAAGAAAGTTTTTGGCTTTCTACTACTTCATCTTGATACAAAAAAATATGAAATGTGGGAATCTTCCAAAATCTTTCCCACAAATTAATCACTCCTGAAAATATAACCCCTTTAATTCATACAATATTATATTTCTCTCAATTTTATTTTACAAAATAGAGTTAGATTCGCTTTCTGAGTACAACATACCTAGGCATTATTGCTTGTGCTCTAAAAACTATTAGTACTGTACATAAACAATGCTAAAAATTTTGGCGGGCAAAAATTTACAAGGAAAAAAAGGGAAGGTACCTGAACTCTGGTATGAATCATGAGTTTAAACACATGTGTATTTTATAATAATAATAATAATATTCTTTATTCAGTAGAACACAGGATTACAAAATAAAATTAAACCTAAAAGGCGGAGTTCATCTTGAGCACCTGGAGTGCACAAAGATGGTCTTCCACTCAACCTTTGGACAAACAGAAGAAAAAAACAAAAGAACAAAAGATCGCAGATAACTAATGAAAATTTAGTGAAACTATAGATATATGTGCTGATTCAAATAACCGCTTTCTAGATATTAGAGGACTTCACAAATTCAAACAAATTTTTTCGAGAGGAGGAGAGTTTCATATTCTTAAAATCATTTGGAATAGCATTGTAAGTGGTCGATACATTATAGAAAAAACTTCTCACAAACAATGATGATTTATGGATTGGTGGTGTTACAGTACCTTTCGATCTTATATTGAGATTGTGAACGTCAGTGCGGAACACAATCTTTCTATAAAGGTAGGAGGGAGTTTGGGTAATGATTATTTTGTGATATAAGATGGAGCAGTGAAGTTTTCGGCGAGATTTCATATTTAGCCACCCGGCTTCTCGTAGCTTATGACTGATGGGTTGACGCCTACGAATACCATAGATGAAACGGAGACAATAGTTTTGGATTTTCTGAATTTTTTGCGTAGATGTAGCCGTAAGGCAAGAGCTATAGACTGTATCGCAATAAGTAAAAGTAGAAAGAACTAGAGACTCGCCAAGCATTTTTTTAAGATTCAAATTCAAAGTGGCTCGAGATCCAAATAAAATTTTCAGTTTCCAGATACTTTTACGAATGCATTCCGATATATGCTTTTCAAATCTCAAGGAGTAATCTATCCAGAGCCCAAGATTCTTCACCACATCACAAAACTGTACAGGAATGTTATTGATAGTAACACAAACATTTTTTTGGTGAAGAAGTCTGTCATTTCGCCTCCCGAACAGCATTGCCTTAGATTTGTTTGGATTCAATGAGAGAGAATGATCTTTTTATATTTTGAAAATTCTATCAAGGTCTTCGTTGATTTTCTGACAACCATTCATAATGTCTGATGGGTGGAAGGAATACATCACCTGAGTATCATCCGCATACATTTGTAGATAACAATGCGAGACAACATTTTTGAAAAATGCTGTGAAAATTATATAGAGAATTGGTCAAAAAATGGATCCCTGTGGAACCCCACATGTCAGTTCTCTTGTTCGAGAAACTCTATTATTGAGTACAACTCGTTGCTTTCGACCACTTAGATAGCTATCAAAAAACAAAACAGATTCTTCTGAGAGTCCAATAAATCTTGGAATATGTTTCAGCGCAGAATGATTTAGGGTATCAAAAGCTTTCAAATAGTCTGAGAGATCTAGAACAGTAATCATTCCCGAGTCAGTTGCCTGGAAGATACGATCTGTCACATTCAGAAGGGCTATCGCGCAGCTATGTCCTTTTCTGAATCCTGATTGAGTATCCGGCAAAATATTATATGTTTCCAAGAATTTCGCAAGTTGATCTTTTATACTTCTTTCTAATAATTTTGAGACAACGGGTAAAATGCTGATTGGTCTTGGTTATGTGTGTACATTAATTTGTACCAAAATTCTGGATGATATTTGACGATTGGTAAAGGGCAGAGATAGCAGCAATGGTGGGTGTATTTACTGTCGTTGTATTTTATAGAATGTTTCCATGTTTTTCAGGATATAGTTCTTCATTTCAGTTTCATTTCAGTTTGTCAATTTTTCAAATGTACCGGTAGGTATTACATTGTATATATCAATTGCTATAATCATTCACTTCATGAATATGACTTTTTTGGGATCGAAACCATAATAGTGATTCAGTGCCTTCATTAGTTTTCAGATTTATCTAATTCGTTGGCAAAAGAATTTAAATTTCATTAGGTTTATTTTTTCAATGAATATTGGTCTGCATTCAATATTCTTCCAGTTCATTTTTCAATCAAACCGTGTTAGGAATCACACGTTAAAAGGTAAGACCTCGTTAGTCCTTAGCTCGCACAAGTTTCTCAACTTCTGAGAGTTGTCGTTCGTATGGGGGCGACAGCTGATTAACGGAAAAACAGATTTCAAACAGATTCAAACGATGATAATATTCATACTCGCTATATCGATAACACAAATAAAATTTTTTTCGCCATTGTTGAATATTATCAAATCAAAAAAAAATTTATTATGCAAAAAAAATGTAGTGAAAATCATTGCCGGTATCTGTGCAGAGATGATAAACATGTATAGAAACATCATTATCTAAATCACAACTATACCTACACCAAGAAAGCTTCATTCAATAAGCTAGATGATATCATAAAACAATCATCAAATTTGAACAATTTCAAATCGAGACTGAAGAAGATTCTCTGTGAAAAAAAATACTACACACTTGATGAATTTTAAACATTTTTTCAATAATCTTTTTATGATAATTATCACAACTAAGTGACATAATCCACTCTTCTTATATTGATTAATTTTTTCACATGACCCAACCTGGTTTTATAACCCTATGTATGTGTGCATAAATGTTTCATATTCAGGTGTTTTGATTTTATTATTGTTATTTTGCTACGATAGTTTTGTCTCATAACTGTTCCTATCATAAGATAATTTTCTTGTCACCGTACATATAGAATCATTGTAATTCTAACTTTGTACTTCTCTACAAAAAATAAACGTTATCATGATTATTATTATCATCCCGCCAGGAAATTAAACAGAAAAATCAAATGAATTCTTCTCGTAAGCCACAGTATTTTTTTTTCTCATACACTTTATCTTTGACCCAAAAAATGCTCTTTGGTATTGATAGTGATTTTCAATAAAGTAATATTTGAAACGAACGTTCCATCTGTTCTCAACTTTCTGCTTTTTGTCAGTAACAAACTGGTATCGTCCACAGTGAGTTTCGCAACATTCCCAACATAACAAAATCCAAAAATCAATAAAGTACTCACGGAATGTCCAGCGCTTCAGAAGAGAAATCGTCTCACCTGGGCCCGAACTGTCAACAAAGAAATCAAAACAAAACAAAATCACACGCGCCCGCAGAATCCGCGAAACTCATCAACTACAATCGTCGGTCGCATGGAGCTGCTCTCGACAGAAGTTGCGTCGACACTGGTAAATGTTCTCCGTAGTCTCTCTCTCTGTTGGCGTCTCCCTCCCATGTAATCCATGTTCGCCAAGGATTCAGCAATTTCAGTTTCATGCCGTCAAGGATTTTTTTGATATTGTTTACATGCGCTTTCAAGTCGGGAGGAGATTGCCATCTCGATAGATATGCCTGAGTTTGGCGCAGGCAGAGCTTTACTGATTTTTTTTTATATTTCAGGATGGAATCCAAAGGATATAAAGTCTCTCCGAAGCCATCGTTATCATACATATATCATCTAACGTAAATCAGCCCCTTCCCAGTAAAACTCCAGATCGTATACCAATAAAATTACGCAGATCGTTTTTTATTGTGTACGGAACACTTTCAAAAATGTTAGTGTTCGTCTTCAAGTAAACGTTTGATGGGTTAAGTAGTCGAGGAATAGATACAGCTTTCATAAATCTGCATGAAACATGTTTGTTTCCAACTCAACAAGAGAAGCAAAGAGAAGCAAATTACACATGGGCTGAAAAATCCTGGAGCTAAGAAAGAAACCGTATTCTTTTTGTTCAAAATTAGCCTAATTCATCAACATAATCTCTATCAAGAGCCACACAATCAATTCAGTGCCGCTCTAACACTTCAATACCACTTTTGTAGAACGATTTATCTTTTGTCTCAAAATAGGCTTCAGTTGCAGCAAAAACCTCTTTATTCGAGCGAAGTTTCTTACCAGTGAAAACTTTTTTGAGATATGCGAAGAGCATATCTCAAAAATACGGTGTTGGTGAATACGGTATATGCGGTGGTAAATACGGTATATGCGGGAGCAATTAGAAGCCCATTTCATTCAATTTTGACATCATTTTCATTGATCTGTGACGATGCGTTGTCTTGATGAAAGAAATGTTTTTTCTTTGCCACTTGCAGTCGTTTCTTTGCAATTTCGGCTTTTCGAACACTCCAATGACGCTATATAATATTCACTGTTGATACACCATGCACATTCCAAAATAATAATAATAATAAAGCTAAAAGCTCAGATAAATACCGCAGAGATCACCTTACTTCTGCGGAGACACAAGCATAAGCCACTGCATGGGGTCGTCTTCAATAACATTGGAGACCTTGGTTTATCAAAGCGCCTGACGTTTGCCTTTCCAAGGTCGAGTGGGCTGAAGTCGGAAACTGAGGGGTTCATCATGGCTTGCCAGGATGGTGTCTTCAACACCTTAGTCTACCGCAGTCGCGTGATGGGTATATAGGTTCCTGACACAAGGTGCAGGGCCTGCTGCGAGGCGCCCGAGACCCTAATGCACTTGCTATCAGCATGTCCAGCATATGCGGTCTCGGCCTACATCCATCGACATAACGTGGCCCTAAAATTGCTATATTACCATCTACAGCACTCTTACAGTATTGACGAGACACAGGTGTGGCCCTACACTCCGGGGATATTGAATCCGTTGTGGGGAACGAGAAGTGCCGAATTTATTGGAACTATTCGTTCCCCACCCTCAGGCTCATACGAGCTAATAAGCCTGATGTGGTCCTTTTTTACTACCAGAGCAAAACGATATTTGTCGTGGAGTTTTCAGCTCCTGGCGAGACGAATATCGTCAGAAAAGAGGAGGAAAAACGGATAAAATATCGAGACTTTCTCTTCAAACTCCGCAGACTCTATCCAGATCACTCTGTCAAGATGGTTGTTCTGATTTTGCAGTATCTTCGCCAGTTATGAGTAGATTTGTATCATCAGCATATGATATTACTTGGACTTCAGAGATGTCAAGAAGGAAATTAATGAGATCATTAGCATAGATTGAAAATAACAAAGGTCCAAGAATTGAGCCTTGGGGAATTCCCTGTTCTCTGAGTTGTGCTGATAATTACACTCTGGGATCGATCAGTTAGGTACGATTTCAATAAATTCAATGCTACACCCCTTATACCATATCGCTCGAGCTTAATTAATAAGAGGTCATGATTAACACAATCAAAGACCCTAGGAAAGTCAATAAATAGCCCACAAATCTGGACTTCTTCATTCAAGGCAGTTATTAAATTTTCTTGAAAATTATATAAAGCAGTTTCAGTACTTCTGCCATTTGTGAAACCATGTTGACTTGAAGAAAGCAACTTATTCATAGTTAAGAATGAAAGCAGTTGATTTTTTTTATTCAACTAATAAAGCTTGCTGAAACTTGATAGAAAATTTATTCCTCTGTAGTTTTCAGTGAAGTGGGGGTCACCTTTTCTATAAACTGGGTTTATGAGCCCAGACTTGAGTTTGTCTGGGAAAATCCCTTTTTCTACTGACAAATTTATTAAAAAAGCCAGGGGAAAACACAGTTCCTGGCTACATTTCTTAATGAGATTATTAGATATCCCATCATGCCCACATGAATACGTGTTTTTCAGGTTATGAATCAGATCTAATACCTCCAATTCAGAAATTGGGGAAAAATAGTGAATTTGAACAAGAGGTATAATTTTTTGCGTAAATTTAAGATAAATTCCGACTTTTCCTGGAGTGAGTGTAAAATGATTATTGAATTTCCCGACCATTTCTCTAGTGGATAATTCTGTTCCGTTCCTTTTTTAAGGAAATTTCTGTTACTTGGTTAGTTGAGTTGGCTATACTCAGATTGAATTTTTTTCTATTTTCTTACGACGTGTTACATTCAAAATAGAAAAGTTTCAAACTCAATCTTCTAGAGTGTTTAGAAATCAATAAATTCAAGAATTTGGCTAATTCACTGGATGATCTATTGGAATTGAATAACTCCCATTACTGAATATTTTTTCAAATGTGGAATCTGGAACATAAGCTCAGTTAATTTAATTCATTACGAACTCAAGTACTTGAAATTAAGCATGTAAAGCATTGAATATGTAGAATATAGTTAGTGAAGATATGCCTGAAGACGTTTTCGTGTTTCGCCATTCTATGGCGAAACACGAAAACGTCTAAATAGGTAATACCGGGCATGAAATTATATGTAGACTGGCAAAATATTCATTAATATTATAAAAACAACCATCTACGAGAGTGTTTCTGAATCTCCGTTTGAATACTAGAATTGATGCTGCTGAATATTGCCTCTTATCGAATAATTTTGTACGATGCTGTTGTAGTTTGTAGATTGATTTAATTCATTCATCATTGTCATTTCTCTCTCATGAGCTCAACACGGCGAAGGAATTTGCAAGACATAAAAATCGAGGTAAGACTAGACACTAGACCAACAGTATTTATTTTGGGTTTTCGCCAGATTGTAATGACTTCATCGCGAACAGATTTTTATTAGAAACAACAAATGAGGTAGCTATATATTACGCATTCCAAGGATTAGGAATCGTAAAGAAACCTACGACAAATAGTAAAAACGAGAATAAACGTCTGTGGGTCAGTGATCGATTGAAGGCGAGACGGGGAACCTGCAGTCTAGCCCCGGATCATTATTTTACTGTTTACAACTTATTGTTGGATGCTAAAAATCATGTGAATGATTTCCGAGTCATGAAATATAAATATCGAGGAATGGAAAAAATATTTATTATTCAGTTTAATCTTTATCTTGAAGATAATCACTTGGTGGTCGAAACAGGTGCCGAGGAGTTAAAAATAACAGTTTGGTGTTGGAATAAAACTCCAATAGTATGCATGAATGAAGAAACATTAAAAGAAAATTTTCCCGCAGTTTGTTTATTGGTGATGCTAATAATTTGAAACTTCACAAAACATTTATATAAAACTCATATATTTTGCAAATTTAGGAACTTATTCTCAAATAATTCAATTTTTTAATTTTTTAAACCGACCAATGCAGGAGTATGATTTTTGAAATGTTCCCAGTTCTATTATTTGACAAATTGTTATGAACTGAATGCGTTGTTTATAAAATATTAAAAAACTTTCATTCTGGGGAAATTTTTATTAATTGATTATATTGACTTTTTTATGCATTTTTCATGTCTCCATTCACTGAACAAATGTTGGCGTGATATTTTTCATCCATTGTTCGAAAAATAAAAAAAACATTGTCTCCGGTTTTATGGCCAGACTGTCTATTCCCATGCTCAGGTTGGAACCGTCTTAACCTAGTCAGACTAATAGAGAGTGTCTGAAAGACATTATCATTCGGATATTATACTTGACAGAAATATTTCAGACAACTTGAAGATCATTGATGAGAATATCTAATTTTTCGAAGCGGAATAAGAAACTGCAAATCAATATACGAATGAATACTGACTATACAGGGTGACTCAAAAGTACTTTGACAAACTCCAGGAGGTGATTCCTCACAATATTCTGATATGAATTGTCCAAATAAATAAATGTCCGGAAACGCTTCGTTTCCAAGATACAGGATGTTGAAGTTTTATTTTTATTATCGTTTTTTTCAAAGGACTTTTGAAATACTGAACTTCATTACACGAAACTTGGTAATAGGAGGTTTTTGAGGTGTCGAATTCGAAACTGATGTTCTTATTGCTCTTACTCGTAGAGGGCGCCACCTACACGTCTTTTTCTTTTTTAAAGATTCATAACTGTTTTGGGCGTACTTCTAGCACATTTTCACATTTTCTTCAAAAATCGATTCCTCTATCATATCTACGTAAATAAACTACCCTTGTTACTAATCGCTGTAAGCAACCGTTTTCTAAATATTTGGACTTGAAAACTTCAAGTCGATTATTTGATGATTACGAATATTTTGCATTTTTCACAAGAATGCTTTGGAAATAAATTTGACGTTTGTGAGTAGTTTTGGTATTTTGTGACAGTTAGACGTTTTTTTGAAGTTTCCGTAAGTAGAAGTAGAAAACACTTATTTTGAAAAAATGGATTATTCAAACAATAATGCTCATTTAGCCGATATGCATTTCGTTTATGGCCTTACGGATGGCAATGCGCGCGAAGCAAGACGTATTTACCAGGAGCGATTTCCTAATCGAGTACTGCCTTCAGCTCCAACATTTGCTAGTCTCCACCGTCGTTTGGCAGAAACAGGTAGCTTTAAGAGGGCAGCTGATATTATTGGAAGA